CAAAGATTGACGATGAAGGGATGTTGAACTGCTTCAAGCATCATCTTCTCGTTGTTGGTATGCTCGACTTGTTTCGTCCGAACAATCTTCTCTTTGTTCAACACTTTGATGGCGTAAAAACGGAGATTGTGTTTGCTCCTGACTGAGAAGCTAAATGAGATGATGGCGTAATGAATAAGTCCAAAGGACATACCTAAATGTACTCTACCAAAGGAGCCCGTCCCAAGGGTCCGTTGTATTATGAAGTCGGTGAGCCGGTAAGATGCTTTTGGGCCTCGACACGCGCGGTAGTGGAAACGTCTCGACTTCGAGATTATTTTCTTGTTGGGTCCATTCGCTGGAAGACGTTCGCTGTGTTGATATCGAGCCGCGATGATAGTCTGCAGCGGCAGATATCGAATGAGACATTGAAGTGTAAGGCAAGTTCGCAAGTCCTGGTTGACTAGACTGCTTCTGAGACTGGCCAAATTGCCCAATCTTATCGGCCATTCGCTTGATCATGCGCCAGAGTAATGGAATATAGACAGAGGAGACCGGGGGCGGACTATGGCACAGAGGGACTGAAAGAAAAAATGATGGGAACTCCGTGGTCAATCAAATTCTTACAAACTTGTCATGTCAGCGAGCGCTCTCGAGACACATTGCATTGTTCTTACCAAACAAGTCGCAAACAAAAATCACAATACAACAACTCTTTGTTCAACGATCTCCTGAACGACGGTCACTGTCGTGCACACGCCCTGTCGACCCTGTTCTCAACGTAAAAGTTTATCTTGATCTACAACTTGCGACATTGACTACACTGCGTTCAATGATCAGGTTAGGGCTTGATGATAATCTGGTACGACTACATGTACCAAAGTTGTCATCTGTAACAACTAACTGCGGGACTCTCTACCTCATGAAACCAATGTTGACACCATCACGAACGCCCCAGTACGACCGATGTTCAGTGTGTCAACAAGTACTACCATTTTGGAAACATGCAAACAGTATCACGATGTACACCAGATGGTCGAATGCAAAAGGTCAGCGACATTAAACCTGGGAAGCTCAGCCTCGCATCCGTCACACACAAGTGTGACGACAAGCTCCCCTGGGTCGCGCGGTCTGCATGCTTATCTCTAACGTGTGTGTAGAAGACCATAGTCAACCTCTACACTCGCACCAACATCCTAACCGGAAGTCCTTGAATAGTCAGCGGGGTCGGCCATGCAAGGAACTATTTAATTCGAGTCTTGTGAATACTGAGGAATTTGGAGCCTGTCACATCTCGCTGTATGAATCAACTTGCACTCTGTATAGGCACTCAAAGAATGAGTTTAGGGCAAGCGGGGTCTTCTAGCTCGATACCAGGAGGACCCGCAATCAATTTTAGCACCAAGATATGACAGCTCGAAGTAACACTAATTAATACACAAGTCATCGAAATGACTGAGACTAGGCAGAAACGAGAGTAAGACGTTGTAATCAGTGGTAGTTCGTACGACGCCACCTTGTAGTAGGACAAGGTACCTACCACGTGCAGTACTTACCCCACGCTGACTTGGACGGTACCAAATTTCTGCACCCGACGCCCTACTGGTACCGTACTTGTGGGTACTACACCGTGACGCCAAGTTACTGGTATACTCGCGGTGTGTCTCCATATATCCTACAAGTTGTATCCGTACTAAACCAATGGTGTTTTTTCTTTCAGAATCGAGGTTATTCTGAGTCGTGCCTCGGTCCCGACACGCACTGCATGTTTCGGAATCGCTGTGCTCTGGATATAGTTATTTTTCCTGGCAGGTCGAGTTCTGTTGGGTTTCGAACGCCATCTCCCGGTCCCAGGATGACTGCCCCTCGGTTCGCAATTGGTAAATAATCGGTTGTTGGTGCCTAACAGACCCACTCAAACACCTGCGTTTTTTGCTTTTCGTTTTGCTACCAGTACGAAGTCTGTCGAGAGTTCGTTCTTTGGAAGGGTTCCGTACGATTGGCACTGGGATATATCTCCGGGATATCCACGAACAATGTCAGGATACTAAATCTCCAAAGTGAGTCAATGTCCGTTGTTTGGCAAGATAGCTGATGACCATTCTGTAGTGTTGTTTTGATATTCGGATGGCGTAAATTCCCAAGTTTGCGTTCTTGTAGTCCATGTTTAATGAGTATTGTCCACAGTGGGAGCATATCCTAGGCAATTGCGGAATTATACTAGTGCATACGCTAAACTATACCCAAAAGCGTCTCAGATCGTCGTTCAGTGCAATCCCGACTTGCTCTGGACTACAAGCCGTGCTAGGGTGAGTACTTCTCGGTAATTGCTCACTGTTGTCTTGTGGCCTCACAAGCGAAAGTCACGGAAGCTCAAGCCTGTCATCGATGTCTTAGAAGCACTGCATTGCTTACCATCTTCCTCTCCTGCCCAACGGCCTGCGCGGATACTTACACATGTGTTTTCTAATGGTGGGTTCTCCCCGGCTGATCCCGGAAAAAGCTAAACCCTGTACGGCAATGCCAGGGGGTTCTCTGCAAATGACACTTCTTGGACATATGCTGCAGCGGAAATACGGTTCCACACCAGTTCTAGGGACATCTGCGAGCGCGATGATCCTTGACTCGTGTCCAGCAGCGGGCGACCTAAAATCAATCAAACTCGCTGTTAGAACTGTCATCCGGAATCCAATTGCCAGACGTATCATACTCGCAATCGTACACGCGATATACTCTGTCCGCTTCGGACTCTCTTTGCTGTTCGGTAAGCAAATGATTATGCTAGAAAACCTCCAAATCGAAATGTGGAATTCTCGCATCCTGCCATGGATAGGCCTCCACACACCTCGCCTCTACCTTTTTTCGCGTAAAGATAAATTGGTCTTGTGGCAAGAGGTCACACGACATGCCGAGACTGCGAAGGAGCGCGGAATGGATGTGCTTTGCGAGCTGTTTGAAGAGAGCGCACACGTAGCACACGTCCAGGCCGAGCCAGAGAGGTATTGGTCCAGTGCAGAATGTTTGGACTGTCGCAACCAAGGAGAAAAATGAGCATTAGAGGATATATATTTTTGGTTATATAACTCCCAAAGGTCGCGTTTTCAGTATGACACTCCTACACGTCATCAGAGCAGCCTTGAGCGAGACCTAACCGCATCACCATCAGTCCTTCATTATTTCACTATCAATACGATACTGGTGTGCTGAACCTACATCTATCGAACAGGATTCATATGCTACTAAGTATGTCACATCGACATAATGACAGGACAGCGAAATGGTTGCACAAGGAATGCGATGACTGCAGAAATAACGATACAAGGGGTTCAATCAAAGGTGATACATTCATGTTGCTTTGTGCAAACCTGGTTGCATATTATTTCAACGATTTGATTAAGTCGGTGATTACAAACTCACTAGGCTCCCAACCCAAATGTTGCAACTTTCCACTCTCAACATTATGAATAAACTGCGTCATCATCTTCTCGTACGGTTTGAACATGGCATTGAACTCTGCATGTGAAGAGGGCTTGCGCGATGAGCCTGGACGATGTGATGTGATGCCATGATTTATGTCTTTTGCCAGTTGCTTTACTGGAGATAGTATCCTTGCAGGAACATCACGCGGCTAAAACGCGTTCAGTTACAGAATGTGCTATGGCTGGTGCAAGTAATACTCACAGGTCTGGGTCCATCAGAAGAAGGCTTTCGCATGAATGGCGGATTCAGTTCATCAAGCACGTCCGTATTCACCGTCGCATGCTGTGGCAAGTTTGCGTAGGACACGGGTGCTGTGTGCGCTGGCCATAAAGGACTTGTCGGGGAAGGTCCTCCTTTGTTGCAATCGATGGCAATGACACGCCGCGCGAGTATGAATAGGTGATAGTGATCTTGCAGGTGTGGGAAGATGAGGAAGTGGTGCAGTGGGTGACACGCTCGTGGATTGTTCCGAAGTCCCTCGCAGTGGTGCGGCTTTGCTTGATGGTATGAGACCCACTTGCTTACTTGCTCGCGCTCTGCCTTGATGCACACGGACCAGATGTCGATCATTTCTTTCTTGGGGAACGGATTGTTTCGCAGCAACGGCCTCAGTATATCGAGTTGCTCCGACGTGAAATTCGTAAATACTGTTCGGCAAGATCATGGCGTAAATCAAGGGTGCACATATACGCATGTTCGGGAGAAAAAACACGCACGGATATTCGTCATATCATCATTTGCATTGATTCTTCCTTACGGTGGCACGGTAGCGTTGAAACCACGCGGTTATATGTTTGGCATCGGCCTGTCCACACCCATGCAAGCGTCGCACCTGGTCGAGCAAGTGTTGTCTTTGGTGTGAATCCGGGTACATCGAAACATGTTCGGCAAAATCTGTATAAAAGGGTCAGCGCGCCTCGAGCATTGGACCTAACATGCCACCGCGTCTCGGCAAAGGTACAACTGGGCGAACCGTGTCGATTTGTGTGAATGGATGGAGGACGACTTACCTTTTAGGAGTTTTCTAGCGTCTGGGCTCAGTCGTTGGCGTTTAGCACCTGCTGCTGATGTCTCAGCGTGTTGATAATCTCCCTCCATGTCGTTTCAGCGGAAGGGGGAAGAGACAAAAGAAATTTCATGTAATTTGAATGGAATGCGGCGACCTTTGTATAAGTAGCAGTGTGAGCCACTCTTTGTAGATCCTTAGGTAAATCCAACCCGTAGGTCCGTGTTTAAACACTAAAATGACACATTTTTCTTTAACCTTTCTTTTCAAATCTACCGTATGGATAACGATGCCGTGACGTCGGGGGCGACATCGGACAAGGCAAATCTGACCCATCCTCTTGGATGTTATGAACGATCATGATGCTTGAAGGAGTCTCGTTCCAAGACACTTCTTTATCTTCCTGATAACCAAGATTGATCGACGCAGTCAACTGACGAGAGGACTGGGCATGGCTAACAACTACATAGCTCAAGAGTCACTCTGCATGCTTTTGCACGCAGGCGAGCTAGAACACCTTCATTGTGCATGTTTTGCTTGCAGGCAAGTCATGTGCTGACCTCATGGTATGTAGGGGCATCAGAACCCTCATTTTCCAGGTCGCCTACTAGTAGGGTCACCCTTTACCTGCATTCAGATGCTTGCGGATCTACATAAGATCTCTGGTTGTTATTGCCATGAGGCTCCCAAACAAAACATTATTTTTTTGCAGTTTCAAAATACTTAAAGCGTTAAAACGATAAAGATCGAGCGCGGTTGTACATCTTCACTTGACCTGTTTTTGGTGGTTGCGATGACAGTTTATCTGCTGTTTCTTGTAATTGCCGACCTTGAACTCTCTTCCTCATCTTTTTATCAACAGCAAAGTCCCATGCAGTCTTCACAGGCCCGACTTCCGACTTTAGCTTATTCTCCACAACAACATCTTCCATCTCCATGGTCAAAGTATGCATGATATCACTTTGAGCATCTCGCGCGACCGAGGTAGCGTGCTCAACTCAGATGTGACCATGGGTGTCTCATGGATTGCGAGCAATTCCGTATCCAGCATAATCGAAACTAGAGTCAGAAGAAATATTGGTGCATACCAAAACTTAATGGATATGCCAAGAAAGGTAATGATCCACTTACACTCTCGTTCTGTTGTCTTTGCCAGCGCACCAAGTCTCTCGGCCATAGCGCGTACGATCTGCTGATCCGTGATAGGATCTCCCCGCATCAGCGAGGGAAACAGGACTGGTGCCACTCGGGACAATGCAACTGAAAGGAAAAAGAAGACCTGATGGAGGAGAAGAACATGTTGGTGTATAATCCGTTTAGGAAATACAATATGGAGGATCGTGGTGTGCGAGGTTGCTGCATCAACAAAGGGGCTCGGTGGTAACGTGGAAGGCGAGGGGGCAAGGAGGAGATAAAGCTCTGATGCAAAAAGGGAAAGAAAAAGAAGATAACGCCACTTGAAACAGGCACAAGGAAGCTGGTCAAAATGGGCAACAGAGCAAGTATCCAGAGTACTCACTGCTGCTATTGGACTGGGCTTTCCGATAACTGAGAAAAGAATCAGACCAGCACCAGTCATGACGTGGTACAATGATGAGCTCAGTAGCCCGCGTCGGAGATACTCGCGCATTGTTGTACACTCTTTCCACTTCAGGACATCAGGTCCGAATCTGAAATGTAGATATGAGGTGACCAAGCCGTACCACTCACAAGACCCCTCACCTGTCGTACGCAAACCTGATCACTGGGTCTTTCAAGGCTTCGAAAGCATCTCTTACCTCGATGAACAATGCTTCTCCTGACGGACCTACTCGATCTGGGTGATATTTCCTTGCGAACCCGCGAAACGCCGTCTTTAGGGTAGCATCACTGGAGTTCGGATATACGCCGAGTAGCTCGTAAAAGTTGTTTGTGATGCTTCCAGAAGCATCCAAGAAGTTATAGATAAGATAACAAAGGACAACTGCTGCGAAAGTAAGTCGGTAGTGTAGTGCATAAGCAGGCGTTCGCGGATCAGGCGGAGGCCGGTGAAAAATACTAGAAGATGCCTGATGAATTACACGGAGAGCTTGTTTTGTTGCAAAATCTGGGAGGTACGACCAGCCAACGATGCGTAAAAGCGCCGCGGACATGAATTGGTGATCTAGAGATGCTGTAGTTTCGTCAGTCAAAACTGCAAGGATGGACATCAATGGAAAAAAAGGAAGCTCAGGGCTGCAAGCAGCCAGAATGATCTCATGTCCTTGACTATACGCGCACCACATGTCCGCTGGAACTCGTGCCTGCAGTTTGTTCGCACATAACCACACACCCAAACATATATCTTGAGTTTGGGTACTTTATAATGTGCGTACCCGTGCAAAGACGGGTAGATTTTGCGTTTAATAGAAATCCACATCTAGAGACCACCCGTGACAGACAAAATCTCTGCTGCCAGGGCTCGGCTAGAACGCCACAATTCGTCTGCAACTTTGCAATCATCTAGGACTGCAAAAACATACAAATGACTGCGAAGTGACAGCTCTGCCTTTGCTAGCGAGCTGTGGGCCTTGCAGTCCCGCCAGCCAATGAGAGCCACACAATGTCGGTCTGGCCTTACAATGCGATGCAGCGAGTTTGGGCAAGGCAATGGGAAACAGACACTTTTTGGGCTCAAGAGCCAGGGACAAGGCGCATTACGGTCAAGGTCGACCCTTTTACTAGGACATCGTCGCAAACAAGAGAGGAATATGATCACTTGCCTATCTATGTGAAGCCGGGATGCTCGCCCGAAGCCAGGGAAACTCTTGTCGTCAATAATACGAGGTTATAAGCCTGAAAGCTGTCGTCCAGCATGAAATAAAGCTTGTGCTTGGCGGGGCACCCTGGACTGAAGGAGAGACTCTGGCGTGCGAATATTTTACCTCGTGCAAGCAACTGTTTGAACACGTCGGCAAACGTTGATCTCCTACACCATCTCCACGACGCTCAAATTTCAGGACCATCATTTGGAGAACTGCAGCACGTTGCTGGAGGATATAGGAGTGGACACGTCAAAACATGAATATTTTTCGGTTGTTCGGTTCGCGCTCGCGTTGTGTAAGTTGTCTGGAAAGCTAACGGGTCGTGGTTGTAGGGGATTTGGCCCACTTGGCCTCCATATTCATCCTTATTCAGAAGATTCAGAAGACCAGGTCATGCAGGGGTGGGTTTGCTTTGGATTTACTAATTTGTCCTTGCTCAGGCGTGTCGCTTGTATGTCTATTAGGTATTTCCTTCAAGACACAGGCTCTCTACGCCCTTGTGTTCATGACACGCTACATCGACCTGTTGTTCCGCTGGGTATCTGTTTACAATTTCGTGATGAAGGTTTTCTTCATTAGCAGCAGTTGTTACATCCTCTACCTCATGAAATACCGTTTCCGGTGCGTACTCACTAGTGTCCGCCTTTTGCACGAATATCGACCTTGGTTTTGACAGTCCAACGCACGACCCCTCCATTGACACGTTCAAGATTGAATACCTCCTTGGGCCATCCTTCTTTCTTTCGCTGATATTCAACTACGCGTTCGAGCCAAGTGAAATCCTCTGGACATTCTCCATATATCTCGAATCTGTCGCCATTTTCCCCCAGTTGTTCATGTTGCAGCGTACTGGCGAGGCGGAGACAATTACAACGCACTACCTGGCCGCTCTGGGTCTTTATCGTGCTCTGTACCTTCCCAACTGGATATATAGGTATGCACGCGTCCAATGGATTCTGATCATGACCGAACGATTTTACCCTCCAGATACTTTACGGAGGACGTGGTGGATCCCATAGCTGTCACAGCTGGACTGGTGCAAACCGGGCTTTACCTCGACTTCTTCTACGTCTACTTTACAAAGTTGGTCTTATACGTAATTCCTACGCCAAATGTTTGCTTACCAACGATATCATTCCCAGAGTCCTCCACGGCCAGAAGTTCGAACTTCCGGCATGAGTTGGCATATTTTGGTCTATCAGAGTCCGATATGTCATTAATCAGAGCCTTGCCTATTACAAACCGCTCAAGGACATTCATGCATGCTTCGGGGACCATAGAATTTTGCAGTGCATAGCAAATGAGATATTTGAGTCACTGGCTCTAGTCTGTTAATGATGATGATGACACGTATTTGGCCATGTGGCCTAAGCATATTACGTGTCTCGGCTAAATCGGCGTCAGGTTCACTGCAGGTCGCCCCATCGAGGGGTCCATCGAGCCATGGTTTCGAACCATTAATCTCAGTGATGATGATCATCGTTATAATCAGTGTGCACCACAGTGTCCTCGACGCTGGGGACAATGCCGAGCTTGCGGTTTATATGAACTATACAACTTGACAAGGAAACCTTCAAACTTACTTCAAACAGTAACCTCCGCAAGTTCGTTATGGTTGAACGTTGAACAGCGAATCAGGGACACAGTGCCTCCGACAAGACCACGAACATCCCGCAACGTTCATGTGGAGTCATACACTCCAGTCCAGCACGTGCTGCTTGTAGGGTGGTCCCTCATACTGGCAATTCTCAACGCGAACTTCATCTACGGGACTCTGGATGCATGGACTTGCTCGACCCTCCTCAGCTTTACTTAGATGCATGTGTGTGAATACACACCCTGGGAATCTCTTGCGTTCGGAAGGCTCGACCGAGAGAATCCGATGATGGTTGGTACGTGTTTAACCTCGCTTGACTGGCTGGTCATCACGTTGGCATGATTAGCACTAGTTTCCCGTGGTCAAACTTTGACTGAAAGAACACAATCGCTCCTTTTTCAAGGATAGGCGCCGTGCTTATCAGGTGAGTCTCCGCGCTTATTGAGTATCTTCTATTACAAAAGCCTGTTTGTCAGTGTCCCGAGAGAAATGCCGCTGAATGTATTTTTGTAAATCGTCAAGAAGCTTTATCCCACTCTTAGAGCTTCAAGATACCGATTAAGTGCTCTTCCCAAAGCTATAATACAATTAATACTTGGCCATCCCTTAGAGAGACCTGTTAATGGATTAACGTTCGGCAAGTATTCCAACTTATTATTGGACGAAGAATGGTATCATTTTGGGGCCCATTTTTCAGTGGGTTATCAGCAAATTATCGGCGCGCTTCTCTGGTTATTTGCCGAACCCGGTTGGCACGACTGTTGAGTTTTCCCCACTGCATATCGAAGGACCGGCAATTATAGCATCCTGATATCACTCCCACTATTTCGGCAGTTACATTCCCCTTGGTTGACGGAGT